CGGGACTTCAATTGATCTTCCCCTATAGGTGAGAATCTAAACTTTGTGCAACGGGATTGAATGGCTGGAATTATTTTGGAAATATAATTGCATATGATACAGAATCGAACGTTATTTGTATATTTTTCAATGACTAAAAAAAAAAAAAAACAATTTAGCAAGACATTAAAAAATTGAATCGCTTTAACTAAAATAAATTTACTTCGCCTTAACGCGTTTTGCGCTGTAGAAGTCATAGAATCAGCTTCATCCAGTATAATCATTTTGAATCCAGTGCTATAATATAAATTTATTCAACTTTTACACCTCATTAATTATTTCATCACCAATCAAAATAAGTTTCGATACCTGAACATTCTTCCCATGCTTGCATAAGTTTTGATTTCTTCCCTGACGACATCTATACCCCGATCGTCAGAAGCGTTTAGCTTGTTAGGGGAAATATTTATTTAGATTTACGTGACGAAAAGTTATTTCTATAAAAATGCTCAAAACAAAAAGTCACCTCCATAATCATATTTTTCCAATTAGGTCCATATAACTTTCTCGCAAAAGCGAGTATTGTTGTCGTTTTTCCTGTTCCAGGAGGCCCATAAAACAATAAGTGTGGAACGCGATTATCCTCAATGAAGCGTTCAACTGAAAAAAAGTTTTTTATTATCTAGTTTTTTCATAAATTCAACGTTCGATTAATTAACAGGAATTTGTAAGGGAAATACTTGTAGAGGTCACGTCTTCATGCGAAACAAGTTCTTCGAGTGTTTTAGGACGATATTTTTCTATCCTATTTTAAAAAACGCGTAAATTTCCTATTTTCCAGATAAAGTACGTGACGATAAGCTGTCGGGAGTTAAAACGAACCACGGCAAATTATCCTCTCCGAACGATCTTGTTCCTTCGAAAACTACTTTTGACTTTCCTTTTATGCTCGAGGAAGGTTTTATTGACGCAGGAATTGCATCTTCCATTTCAACTTCCATTTTAATTAATATTACACTATCTTTTTTTACAAAGAGACTTTATATACAATATAACCAAATTGCAATATAATTTCTGATTGGTCTGTTCGCAGCAAATATATTAAGAAAAAATTAAATCCTGTAAGTGATTAATTTGGTATAGACTAATTGTTTTCTTTTAAATACGACTATCCCATGATGGCTTCTATCAGATGCGCTTTCTGATTGGATTCAGCCTCTTCCGTGTCCCGCCTCGCTCCGGTATACAAGCCTTTTCCTGTGCCCTTTCATAAATTTATTTTTTTTTGCGTATTTCATGAAAGAATTATTGAAATGTCGTTAAATTCTACTGAGAAGGAGAGGAACGGTAAAAGAATCAAGGTCAAGGATTCAGAATGGAGTGTCCCCGCTTCAATTGTATCTAAGCGGACCGTTAATCCTATTCGCGAAGTGGCCTTTAACATGAAAGTCACGCCAAATCCCGATAAGGAGCAAATTTCGTTAGCCTTGGGTAATTTCCAAGATAATTTTACCATTTCGAAAATTCATGGGACATTCCTGACTTCTACCCTTTCCTACAGGTGACCCCACTCACTACGGAAATTTTAAAGTCCCAGAAAACTGCATCGATGCAGTCATAAAGCAGTTGAAATCCTACAAGGCGAATGGGTATCCACCAGCGATAGGAAAGTATTCTCTGCTCAGAACAATTATGAATTTAATGGATGTCCATTTTGAATGAAATTTTACCCATTTAGGTTGCGAAGAAGCGCGAGTAGCTTTGGCACAAAAATTTTCGACCGAAGAAGCTCCGTTAACTCCGAAGGTTTGTAAATAAATCAAAAAGTTCATGCAAGTAAGTTTATATACAAACGTCCTTTGCGGTAAAAAAACAATCAGGATATCGTCCTTGCTAGTGGTGCCTCAGATGCCTTGAGTCTTTCCATCGGCGCTCTTTGCAATGAAGGTCAAAATATCCTCCTTCCCAGGCCCGGGTTCTCACTTTATCAAACACTCTCTGAATCAAAGGGAATTGAATGTCGTTATTATAATTTGTTGGCAAGTGATTATTCATAAATTATGGTTCGTCTACAATCTCAGTATCTTACTATTGT